ATTAGCGGGAGGTACTTGTGCGAACAAAAATTCTGGTTCACCGAGGGTGTTAAGACGTGAGAACCACTGACCCTGACGGCCTGAGGTGCTGTCACAATGCTGTGTTATTGACTGTGTTGACGACTGTGTAGGAATCATATGCGACAGCGACTTTTGTTGGGGTTTTGGTACCCAATAAGCGCCAACCAGGTTTCGATCGTGCAGGGGGGATAACGATGCATTCAATTGAGGTGGAGGCTGGCGTTGGCATGGTTGAATGGGGAGCATGGTCTGGTACTGTAACTGCGGCAGCCTATGGCTTATCGACGGGTCTTGAATCATAGTCGCTGACAGGATATCAGACGCAACCGGCTGGTGCGGCGAAGCGGTGCCCATCGGGCCGAAATCGAATAGCATGTCGCATGATGTCCCACGAGCCCGCTTACGATGCTGAGAAGAATCTGATACTGGGCTACCAGCTAGGGGTGATGAGATGGATGTGACACTATTCGCCGCAGAGTTCCTGGGTGGTATATTGATTCCCGAAAGCGCCTGAATCGCGACTTTTACGGAACGCAAAGGTGTCGTGCAAAACGACACAGATGAGTGCATTGCGCTTTCGTTCGGCGTTCTGACATTCCGCCGCGCGGCACACCTCAGCTGCCTGCTCCTTGGTGTCAAAGATTCCTAAGTTCACTGACTGACCATCAACGGAGATTACAGCCCGCCATTTGTTTCGTGATCGTCGAACGCCCCGGAATGGCTCAGATGCTTGATCCATGGCTTCATTGCCTATTAGGCGGCGATCGGTGTCGTCCCAATTGAATGACACCGCGGTGAGCCTCGTTCATCATAATTGCAGCGCTCTGGAACCCCAAGATAGCGAGCGCGAGCATCAAATGCACGAGCTGCTTCCTCCTCCGTGTCAAAGGTACCAATGTGCTTAGACTTCGATCGATAGGTAATCTTTGCCTCCCATCGGCCGCCCAGGACGAAATACACCCCTTTGAAGCGCGACTGTGGGACCTCGGCACGGGCCCCTGTGCTACAATTTCCTACTCGGTGTGGTTGACCATCTCCTCGTGGCGGTGCTCCAGCCTATGAGAGCCTAAATGATCAACTCCGGCCGTGTAGCTTATCTCAATCTGCTCTCGGCTTAACACTGGGAGTAGGACAGGCCAAGCACGACTCGCGGTAGCAGGCCTAGATGCTCGGGATCTGGCAAATTTATCTAAATGGCAAGGACTCTCTCCAGCGACGTGGTTAGCCCATGGTCACAAATGCGTGGCTGACTTTTTGAAGTGTGCACAACAGAACTTGCCCTACAGACACAAACTAGCAAGAATTAAGAGTCGACATTCACAGATGACGTGCGCCCATGGAACACTACTCGTAAGTAGCGGACAACTCTGCCCGCTAGTATGCTCACTAAGTTCGGAAACCGCCTCGGAATTGACGCCCGTCAACCCAACTTCTGTCTCAAAGTTACATTCAGACGAGCGCCCAACTGCTCTAGCGCGCACATCAAATGCGTGGGCAGCAGCTAGTTCTGAATCGAAGGTGCCAAGATGCTCGCGTCGCGACTCGTCGACAGTCATCAGACATTGCCACTTAAATTGGAGGGAGATCTTCGATCGAAACGCGTAGACGCCACGAAACCGTGATGTCGGAACGCCAACAAGTCTAAACGCAACCACTTCCATCCACCCGGCGGCACGGATGTGATGTTGAGAAGAGGAATAAAAGTATGGAGGGTAGGGTGAGGTGGGCTTGCTTCTCCTGTGCCGAAGGAGGGTGGCGGGTGGGCTTGAAGAGTTTACACGCCGCCCTTGGACCCCGGGAATGTTGTAGACGTATACCAGGGGGCTACCCAAAAAAAAGTACCAAACAACATGACGGATTTTTGGTGCCGGCCACCGGCGCCCACCCACCCACCTCCCGGCCAATCAACGAGCTCCTTCGTCGTTGGTTGCCTTCAAGTTGCCGCGTCGCGCGCCGCTGGGCGATCGCTGAATTGCCACACCGCGCGCGCGGCGCCGCGGTCGACCGGGAGTCGCCGGTGCCGGTGACGGGCCGCGGCGCGCGCGCCAAGAAGCCCAACAGCCTGGTGACCTTCGGCGACGAGTCCCAGCGCGACTAGATGCGCGCCCCGTCGCCCAAGACGCCGCCGCGCTCCAAGGCGCCTTCGCCCGACTCCCGGAGCCGCGCGGCGCCCGAGACGCGCGCGGCGCGGAGCCGCGCGCGCGCGCGCGCGCGGCGCGTTACAAGTACCCGATAAGTACACCGTGAAGTTTCTGAATCGCGACCCCCGGGCCCACCCACCCACCCCGTCATGTTGTCGGATCTTTTGTCCGTGGTTGACTCTCGCGTATACTATTGTAAATTGGAAACTCATACAGGACACTGGGTAAAAACCGTTCTTTTTTGGCGAAATTTGACGGCTGGAGGGGTCCAAACGAGTACCACGAGCGTAGAGATGGCCGCGAGAGCTCTCGATTTCGGCCCTATTCTGCGAAAAATCCGACTGCAAGAACGTGTTTGGGCGCGCGGGAAGTTTAAAATGTCCGAGACGAATCCGAAGTCGGGTGAAGACCTCGCAGAATAGGGCCCGGATTTGTCCAGCGTCCCGCGTTGCTAAAGTCCACCAGCAGGAGTTTTCCCGGCCGACGTCGGCGCTCTCCGCCAAAATTCGCTGAAGTTCACCGTTTTTGATGAAATCTGCAAAACCCCCCCCGCGGCACCTCACGAGAGCGTCTCAGCCCCGTCCTGCGGTACGTCACGGCGAGCAATCGACTCGTGCTCGACGCCAGCGCCGCGCGCCGCCGCGCCCCCGGGTGCGCCCGAAAGCCCATCACACGGCGCACCTCTGGACCGAGTTATCCGTGCGGAGGCCGCCGTCGCGCGACGAACGAGCGGTCGCTAGAGATAGCTCGTGAGACGCTCTCGCGAACGAAACCCGCCCGTCCGCGCGCGCAGCGCTGCCGCCGGGCGCCTGCGCTGGACCGAGGCCGCGCATGTATACCGCGAGGCCGTGCGAGGCGCCGGTGCTCGTCGGAGGCGCCGGATGGCCGCGCGGTCACGGCTCGAGCGCCGTCGCGCGACGCGCCGGTTTCGGCGCCGGAGGCCCGAGCGGGCCCGCAGGGCGTCGGGCCGCCGCGGCGACGGCCCAGTGACCGGATGCTATGATATGGCCGGCCTGTCGGCGACGCTCCGCGGCGCCGGGGCGCCGTGGTCGGCCGCGGCCGCACGCCGACGCCTTCGGCCGCGAGCGCCTGCGGGAGCCGTCGGCGGCCAGCGCGTCGACGTCCGGCCCTCGCTGAGAGCACTTGCGGTCCGCGCACTCGATGTCGATGCTGACCGCTGCTCTGGACCGCCGAACGATCCTCGAGCCTGCAAAGGGTCGCCATACGGGGGTGAAACATGCCCATATAGTGACCTAAGCAGATTGTACTTGACGTCTCGATATGTCACTCCACGGCTGAAACCGCACCAAACTACGCCGTTTCGAGTTTCACGGACACGGGCGGGACCAGACAGAGCCACCCACGTAACTTTCCCGCCGCCCCACGGCTAGCTGGCGCCGGTGCGTCGCGCACGTTGAGGTTGGTGTTTACCCCGGATTGTCCTGTAGTAATCGAAAACTTCATCGAATGACTGCATCGTTTCGACCGACGGATAACGCTTGCGATGATGTGATGCGCCGGTTTTTGCATCCCCGGGTTCATATACCGTGATAGCTGGCATGGGGCAACTCATCACCTCTCTACGGTCGCCCTGCGACTGAATTAGGTTCGAAACTCCCCCGCGCGCGCGCGACGACGACAGGCGGCGGCCGCGGCCGCGGCGGCGACGACGACGACGACAACGACGACCGACCGACCGGCCGGCCCAGGAAATAGGTGCCAGGAACTCGCCCTGGACCCAGGGGAAGTCACCCGAGGTCCCCCCGAGTACGCCCAAGTAGGATTCAATCAAAGTTTACCACCCCGTACCCCGGAGCTCGAGGTCACTCGCCGATATAAGACTTGAAACTGGATTGGAATGAATCAAAGAAGGGATGGAAAATACTAGCAGGATGCGCAGTAGGAGCGCAGTGGGGTAACTAGGATGAGGGTGGAAATCTCCCTATCTCTCTATACGTTTAGTGAAGTTGCTCTTCTTTTCCTTCTCAGGCTTACTCACTGGTGGCGAAGCACGACAAGTACGCCAGGCTAGACTCAAAACGGCACCAGAGCGAGCCCGGGCCGGCGCAGGCCGCTCCTTTAGGGCCGTAGGGACCGGGGGGGGCTAACAGGAACGCAGAGCGTCGGGAAACTCGGATGGCTCCTGCGGCGCGGTCACGCACTCGGGCCACGGTGCGCAGCGCCTGGCCTCGTTGTCCGCGGAGTCGGGGTCGTATTACTCTGTCGACCTCTCCCAGCATCGGAGATCTTATTTCATCCGTGAGATCACTCGTTGGAACAAAAAAAGTGACCCCGTGCCGCGTCCGCCGCGTCCGCAGCGTCCGCCGCGTCCGCGCCGTCCGCGCCGTCCGCGCCGCTTCGCGGAAGGGAGATTCGAAGCCGCGACCCCCTCGCGTCCAGCGGGGCATCCAGCGGTTGGGAAGAACTTATTTCGGGCCTCATCAGCCGTTCCCGTACATAAACGCCCTCCCTTTGTGGCCCATGATGCCGGCGACTCGACCATTCAGCGACATGCCAGCACGCGGTGTCCAGCGGAGGAAGCAGGGACGATCGTATGCCCCGAGACACCCGCATTGCGCGCCGAAAGAGGCGACTCGCCCATGCAGCCCGCGCTCATCGTTATCTTCAAAAATCCTAGAAAATAGAGACTTGGCCAGGTAAGCCAGGAGTCCCGTACCCTTTTTGATTCGCAAATGGGGCGCCGCCCCATTAAAAAAAAAGCTTAGGGTACGGCGAAACGGCCTCAATGGGGCCGAGCTAGCCCCTAGTCAGGCCCGCCGAGCGAGATGAGGAGCCGGAACGAGATCCAGCGGGCGTACTTGTCGCGCATCGCCACACTGGCACTTACCCCACTGGCACTCCGCCGTCGAAGGTGGAAACTCCTTTGATCCCACTAGCCCCCTAGGGTTAGAGTAGGGAGTCTACCTATTTATTACCATACCCTAATCTTAGAGCCAGGGCTGGGGGTAAAGTTCCTTTGTAGCCTAAAGGTCCACCCAGATGGCTCCGATGTCTGGCAGCGGGCTGAAATAAACTCCAGGGTGCATCTTCGAGCAGGCTCCTTTTTTCAGGATACTACGGACTCGGATTGGATTCGCGATAGCACCTGAGTGAAATGGTCAGCTGCCATGAGCGTACCTGTTTGGCGCCCTCATGCGCCCTCACTGGAGGCTGAGGAGATACCGAGCTGTATTCGAAGGAGAAAGGCGGGTTAGCAAGATATGTTTGCCAAGTTGGCCTGATTTCGACCTATCTTAAGTTAGTCTGGACTCTGTGATACATGTGGTCTTGCCAAGTACTTGGCTTACCACCGCCACGTCAAATCCCACATGGCATTTCTGCTGCTGTTGCAGTTGTCATCATGAATCATTTGCTGGCGTGTCTACTAGATATTGCGTGATTGTCCGATTGAACTGACCAAGCGCGATTAGATACTTGCCATCGCTTGTGAATCGGACCTTAGCTATGCTGGATGCGTGGCCGGGGACCTGTATATCGTCAAGTCATCGGAGTAATCTCAATGAACGCTGCGCGAAACGTTGATGGAGGCCATCCCCGGTGCATGAGTTGGATAATTATATACGGCCACTGTTCCGTCAGCGCACCCTTTGGCAAGATACCGCGAATTAGGTGAACGGTGGACAGACGTAACGTGTGGAGCAGAATCTTGATTCGTGGTATTACCTATCGCCTTGAGGAATCTCGGTGCGCGTTCTGCATCATCGACAGCGCTTCCTTCAGCAGTACGTCCGCCGGCGCATTTCCAACAGCCTTGAACATTCCACCCAAGAGGTACGGTCATGGTCATCCATTTTGTATCGCGGACTACTGCCGGAGATGCAATGCGAGTGCCATCGAGGACAGAATAGAAATGAAGTTCGTTTGTTCGGGTTGCGACTTGAAAGTGGCTCGCATCCACACTCAGGTCGATGGACGTAAGAGGCGCGCCGGCTTTCGCACAGACCGTCCTCAGGCTGCAGTCTCGAGCATCATGAATATAGACCTGACAAGTATGTTCGAGTTGGAGTTAATGCGACTACCAAGATTCCACGGAACGCGGTCTCATCCGGTAGGGGACGATCGTATACCCGGCTATCCTCGGATGCGGCGAGCAAGAAAGTGCCGTCATCACACCACTTGACATCAGCGAGTACTGCCTTTGACTTGCGAACCTCTGTGAGCAGCTCAGGCGTGTCTTCCTATTGTTCGCGCGTAATGGATGAGTCACATCTTTCAACGCTGCCAGAGACCTCAAGCTTCATATTGAGGATAATGAGGGTCCCGTCTCGTGCTTTATCTGCTGGGTCGCCGCCGAGACCAACTGCGAGGCGGATCCCATCCGGTGCCCACGAGCAACAACGAGCAGCAGCACCGCCAAGGACGTCTGGTGTTACACGCATCACACAACGTCGAGAGGCGCACGACCAAGCACGGACAGTACCGTCGTCTCCGCTCGTAGCATATATGTCACCATACTTCGGATTTACATCGAGGCCATGAGCCTCAGTCGCCTGTTTCTTGCGACGTGCATGCGCTTCAGTCAAAAGGACCACACGACCAGAGTTGATTGCGAGCTCACACATCTCACCAGAGCGCACCAGAATGAGAATTTTGGTTCCATGAGCACCACCGAAAGAGATGGCCGCGGCAGTCGGCGTTAAAAACGGAATGGAGGCCTCACTGAGTCTGAAGCTAAGCATTGGTTGAAGACGAGCATCCCATGTCTTTATTGCACCATCACGCCCTGCTGTTGCGTAAGCACCACGCCTATATGCGGTTGCAACAGCATAGATTGGTCCATCGTGGGCGTCAAGAACATGCTCTGCAACTTCAGTCCCACTCCAGAGGTACAACGAACCAGAAACGGATCCAGTAAGCGCAGCAGCATCCGCGTCCGCGTCAGACAGCGACCTGCGCGTTGGAGTGTCCTGCGAATTTTTAAGGTCCATACTGAGTTCTATAATCGAGGTTTGGGAGGCATCTGTAGCGACGACATGCGCCTTAGTCACACATAAAATTGGCACGTTGGGGCATCTTTGTCCATCAAATGTCCCGCGGCGACGCCTGATACCGCCGGAAGCCGCGGGGCGAGCGAACTCGACACTATCGTATGACCCAACAAAGAATGGATAGGCTTCTCGACCGACAAATGCAGCGCAGAAAACGCGCGATTGTGTGCCAGACCCTGCGGCAACTCGTGTCGCGTCTTCCCATCCACCAGAGCGAGTGGTATACAGTGCATAGGAATGGTCAGCGTCCGACCCAATCGCAGCGAGATGCCTGCCATCACGTGAGAAAGAGAGCACAAGTATACCTCCGCGAAGGTGACGTGGAAGTACTGAGATAGTGTTACCAGTCATTGCGTCCCATACTCTGACGCGAGGTGTTTTTCCTTGGTCCCCGGATGCCGCGAAATGCCCATCGGGTGACACACTCAAGGCACTAATGTCAGCTAAGCCGCTTGTGACTCCATCATCATCCATGTGCAAGTCTCCACAGCTAGGATCACCACCTTCTGGATGATGGAAATGGAAGCATTGAGTGTGCGTACGAGAGTCGTATACTACCCCTAAGCCGCCGCACGCATACACTACCCCACCTTGAGCGTTATACCCAACGAGCCCACGAACATCATCAGAGCGCTGACCATGTGCGCACTCAAGTCTCAAACTGATTTGCGGGGCTCCTGGATCCTCTTGCTCGAGATTTGACGGTGGCACCAACGCTGAAATCCAGGCCGCCACTGTCGTTGGTTTATTCTTTTGCGAGTCACTTGCCGATTGCGAAGCTGTGACATGGAAATTCGTGGCCTTGGATGAGCGCTCGACTGCGGCAGCCATCGCTCGCCCCCCGTCAGCATCTATAGCGTCGTCATAATCACGAGGATCCTTCTCAGTACTAGGACAGAGGTCGTCATCAAAATCACCGAAGTCTGGCTCATAGCGCCACACGCAGATAACCCTATCGAGGCCACCCACGGTGATGAGGTGTGAGTCCTGGGCTGTCCAGACCAGTCGCCGAACAACTCCAACATGAGCAACTCCTATTTTAGACGCGGCTGCTTCATCATTACTTGCAGGATATCTTAGCATTCGCAGCACTCCGTGGTAATCACCCGTGGCTATGACTCGTGCCGAGTTGGAACGTGATAAGCATGTGAGATTCAGTACGCTCTTGGCATCATCAATAGCGTCTGTAGTGGTAGTCTCATATCCCCCGGCTTCGGGCCTTGCATGAATAGCATGGGCCCCAATTACAGGCCAGCCAAATGGAGATGTCCACGTCGCCCATTTAGCTTCTCGCAGAATTGCAGGATCACGCACCACAACACCAACGTGGAGATCGCCATAGGACAAGGCACGTGCATCATCGGATGCCTGAATGTGACGACCGTCACAGGGAAATCGACAGTACACACAGCAGCTCCCTTGAGAGCG